GCCTTCTCCCAAGACTGCAGCAGAAAGTCTGTGAAAGGAAAGAGGAGGGCGAGAGGGAGCCATGGTTGTGTGGCACTGGAAGTGACCTGCAGCCTGGGCCACAGGGACGTGGACGTGGACTGCTGGGTAGAGCGTGTGGATTCAGTACAGTACGTCTAACATAAGGACGACTGCATGTTGTGCAGTAGTGGGTGCGGGGTGCAGGTCAAGAAGGGAGGACCCCTCAGAAGACTACTGAATGTAGCTGATTCACACATGGTAGTTGAAAGAATGCAGGTGGTTAGGGTCAGACAGTAACTTGTTGTGCAGTAGAGGAGGAAACAGGAGACATGACCAGCCAAGCAAGGCCAGGAGGTGACAGCAGGTGAGGAGTTTGCGACATGTGGTGGAGCAGCATGGAGGAGAGGTGGTCCAGTGGGCAAGAGGCGTGAGAGGGAGCAGGTGAGGGAGCTAGCAGCTGAGACAGCAGAGGCTGGTTAGGACCAGGGAATGCGCTGCTCCAAGGGAGGCATGGCAACCCCAAGGTAGAGGAGTGAATGTGCAGAATCCATGGAGTTTGTCCCCAAAGGGGAAAAGTGCATGAGGAAGCTCATGGAGGACAAAGTATGGGGTGGGTAAGACAAGCTAGGAAGGAAGGAGAGGAGGGAGGAGGCCAAGAAGGAAGGTGTAGTGGTAAGGGCACCTCAGATACGCTGGGGACCAACCTGTGAATCAAAGGCATGGTGAGAGGATGAAAGATTGGAGGTGAGAGGTACTGCGCAGTGAGATGAAATGAATGTCTGCAAAATGGCAGAACCAAGAACGTAGGATGGTTAGTATTGAAATCAGACATGAGACAACTCAGTTCAGCACTTTCTTCAGACAAAGAAAGTGTCTGGCATTTGTGTCAGCAGTTTGAGGAGTTTAGGAAGAGAGCAGACCTCTAGCAAAGGATTTCTGAGTCCACTGACTGATTTGTTGGTGGTAGGGGAAGTCAGAGTAGATATGGAAGAAGAATAAGAGGGTCTTAGGAAGATAACCATGTGCGGAAAATGCAGTGGCTAGGTCTTGCCTGGTTTAAATCCACATTTAATGTGAAAAGAGACATTTCAGCCAGCCCACCATCTCAAGGCAGCAGTTGGAATGTAAGTCGGGCCACAGAAGTAAATTTGAAAAGAAGGGGACAGGAGGTACATAGGAAGGGAGAGAGATCTTCTGAATTTGTGGGGGGCTAAGCGTTGGTAAAGTGGCCAACATGGAAATGCGGAAGGCAGAATGCAGAGTTTCCTAACCAGGGTGTTGGTATACCTCAGGGGTCCACTTGCTGGTACATATAGTATCAAGGGCAGACTATAGGAGGAGTGTAGTAAGAAGAAGATATAGTCTAGAAGAGCTGCAAGTGGGATGACAACATTTAATGTCTTGTGTAAATAGTTCATTGAATGGGAAAATAGAAAAAGAAGAATGTTCACAGTTATGATAAAGTAAAGCCAACCTATATGGAATGTAGTGTTCTGAATCACTGGAGGTCAGGATTTTGAAAGCATACACTTAACACTGTAAAAGTTGCAAATTTGAGGGTTGGACATAGGTTGGACTATGTTTAATGTGGTCTCCAGCAAAATCAGCAGAGCGGAAATGGAACAAGAGTGTTCTCTTTAATGAAATTTGGTTTAAGGGGACAATATACATGTCAAATTGTCATTATTTAGGAAAGTTATAGTTGGTAAAATGGGTATTTTGTTGCCCATTTAAACTTGATCCAAAATACAGAATAATGGAAAACAGGAAAAGTGTCTAAAGAGAAATGATCATTAGGGAATTCAGTGGCTGCCTTAAAGCTCCATCAGATAATCACTTGAGGAATGGGTAGAGTCGGGTGAATAAATGGTCATATAGTATAAATTTTTGGAGTCTGAAGAGAGAGCTTGGTCAGCAATCCTTAGAAAGTCAGTACTTCTGACAGCCAAGGATGCAGGTGAGAATCCAAGGAGGAAGCTCATACATACTCATATTGTGAATCCATTTTAGTGACAGACGTGAACAATGATTGGGCAGTACCGATGAGCAGGAGTGCTTTTCTTATGGCAAAAGGCAGAAATGAGTGGGTATGCCTTGTTTAAGTTGCATTCTGGAGAGATGGTGTCAGTTAAGTCAACAGTAAAGATGGAGGGATGTTGATGATGCTGGGGTGAAAAAGGAACATCAAATAGGATAGGAACATGGCTTGAAAAGGAATGATAGTCTCAGTGAGTTTCAGGATAGGCAGACTGGGTATAAGAGAATGAGGTGTATAGGGAGGTCTGAGACAGGGAATCCTGGCGGATCCTATAATGGGGCAAATTGTAGGAATATTGATTTTACATCCAGACTAAAGCAAATTCTGGTGATAAAGGCAGAAATTAAAATGGTGGCAGAATAGTAATGTTCTACCAATCTGCTTTTTAAGTACTTGAGTGAAAACTGAGCTTAAATGCTTGGCTTGGAAGAAAGCAAAGTTTCATCAAGGATCCCAGTGAGTGAGTGGATGTGAGTCAAAGGAAAAAACTCTGAGGTAAATCTTATTAAATTGAAGTTATGGATTTAGTACAGAATGGCAAGAGTTGACATGATTAATACTGAACAAAAAATTATGGATGGTAGATACAGATTCAGAGAAGAGTTCTGAGTCCATCAGACTGCTTAAGATGGCACTTTAAGGAAGTGTAGGCAGGAAGTCGAGAGATGAATTATTTATGAAAGAATTGTAAGTGATTAGATGGCAGGCAATATTCCTAATGAACAAGAGAGGAAAGAAACTCCCATACATGTGCTGTATTTCTTGGTATAGATGTTTTCTAGTGAAGATAGTTTTAAAATAAGTTATTTACATTTGTTGACATGGTTCTAGATGATGAGAAATATGATGCAATAAAGCTTGATAGTCTAATAATAAAATATAGGGATTAGGATAGTTCTGAATAGGTGCTTGTAATTAGAAGTTAAATAGGTAGGGGCGTTAAAGAGGTCCAAAGTGGGGAACAACTGATAGAATGTTTTATATATAATGTATATTGTTGCTGATGCAATAAATATTCAGAGGAAAGAATGAGAAAGGATACTAAGGAGGAATGTTGCCTTAAAGGATTTTCTAAAATTTGGGGGATAAAGGAGAAATTCTTGGAAGATGAAAGATAAATAGGACTAATTAAATTGAGACTTATGAGATTTCAGAGTGTATGCCTTTTGAAGTGTGGAAGACTTGATTTTAAAGGGAGAAGGTTGCGAGTTCCAGAATTAAATAATATCTTGTATTTATTATTTACTATGTATCTGGCACCATGGTAAAGACATTACTTACTTCATTTCATTTCACCCATATAATAATCTTAAGAGATCAAATAACTTGTTCAAGATTACCCAGTTTATATGTAGCAGGGGCAGAATTCAAATCCCCATGTGTATATAAAACCTATATTCCTTTGTATTATGTTATACTGTTTTCAAGTTGAAGGAAATCACAACCAGGAATTTCTATTTTTTTCCCTGTGATTATAAGGAAAAAATATTTTTCTGAGATAATATACATAGACGTGATACATAGATCTGTAAAATGTGGACTACTGCTATGGGAAAATGCAAAGAGGAAAGAATGGACAAAAGACTCTTTATTACCATCTATGTTCTGGTATTTCACTTTTTCATTATATAGCAAAGGGTCTGGATTGACCATGGATTAAAAATTTGACAGTTTCTTACAAAAACTAAATAGAAAGGAGTTTGTTTTTAAGCAAATATGTGATGAGTCAGATATAAATTGACTACTAACAATATTTTAAATGTCTAAGTGTCGATGAGTTTATAACTACACTTTAGCTCTGATAGGAAACCCTCCAAGTTTAACATAAAAGAAAGAATTCTCTAAATGTCAAATTTTTATAAACAAAAATGAAACAAACCATCAAGCAAAAGAGTCCATAGCCAGCAGACCAAAGGTTGAAATCCCTGGGCTAGTTTGTAAGATCTATGTTTTAAAAAGAAATGAACTCCTTAGTGAAGAGGGCTGAGAAAACCTTTCCCCTTCTTCCTCTCTTGGTGGAAATGTTTATTGTTGTTGTTGTTGTTTTCCTATACTATATGTAATTTCAATATTGATGTTTTGTGTATTGTGGTATTATAAAATTATACTTATTTATTGGAGTCTGTTAAGATCACTCCCTGGAATGTGAGGCACCTGAGTTATCAGTTATGAAAAATGAACCTGGGGAAGTGGGAGGAGCTAGTGTTCTCGATTGAGAAGAGCTTGATTATTCCAAGGATTCAGCATTTTACTTTCCTCTGAAATTAAGTGATAAAGTAATGGTATGCTGCATACCTTAAAAAGTAAAGTTGGTGAGAAGTACAATAGGGGGAAGAATTTTGAAAGAAGGCAAGATAGCTACCAGAAAAAACCTGATGAAGTGTAGAGTGTCCCAGGACAATGGCAGAAGCTACAGGGCTACATAAAGACTGGGCCCAGATACTAGTTTAGAACAAGAGTATATAAAACTAGCTTTACTTAAGAGTACAGTCAGCTTAATTACTGGCTAGTGGACATAATTCAGACAAACCTAACTAGAGAGAAAAATAGACCAGGAAAGAAAGTGAAGCTATGTGGGAAATGGAACTAGAGAAACCTCACAAATGGATAAAGGAGGTAATTAAAGGTTAAAGCCAGATGGCTTAGAGCTCAAAGGAGAAATACTGGAGGCCAGATAGGCAAGTGCCTTCCTACCCAAGGGTTTATGGATCTAGGGTGGCTAGAGAAAAGAAGCAGAGTTCCACCCAGGGCCAGAGGGAACAACCTGGGATTCAGATCCAGCAGTGGTGCCAATGTGAATCTACCTGGTGCTAGAGTCTGAGTAGCCTGATCTATCACCCAACACAGATAAGACTGGGCAGGAGCTCCTAGGAACCAAGGTCCAAGAAGGGAGTTAGGAGAGGGGCTGAAAGAAAGCAGGTTAAGCCCCAAATGTAAATGAATGATGACCAGGGATAACCATTTACTCATACTTTCATGATTTCTTGTACTTCTGTAACTTCCCCAATATTTGTCAATTTGTAAACCTGTTTTCCTGTACTTATAGTAATAAAAGTTGTGCAAAACATAAATGTGATGTCTGTGCTTATTTCTATGGAAACGGGGTTTTCTACAGTAAATATGGGAAGAGAAGAACTCAGGAAAATGGGGACAAGAAATCAAGTACAATAAATACTTGACATTCACAAACAATAGGTCACAAGATCTTCCTAAATCCTCAAATCTGTAAATACTACTATTGACATAAGCAGTTGGTTCTCTTAGGGGCTGTTTCCCCTCATCAAAGACTATTTATGGGTCAAATAGAGAATTACAAAGCCTTTCTCAAATGTGGACACACATGGTTGGCTAAGCCACTCAGGCTGAGAGATAATACTCTCAGACACCAGCCTTATGCTACATGATGTATTTTTAAACACTGTATTTTAAAATTTCTTCATAGGAGACATTACATATATGAGCCTTCACTAGTGGTTATACTGTTCCAACAAAAAGCCTCAGTTCCTTTTCAGTCTACCACGGTATACATTCAATCTCTCCTTTAAGACTGAATATTTAGCAAATTTTACTCAGAGGCCTTGTTTTGAAATTAATATTTTTGTAGCAGTAAACAATTGTGAAACCAATTTTTAAAATATACCCCCCATTATCATTACATTAAATTCTAGAAAAGAACCATATTCTTGAATGCTGAACATTTGTATAGACATTTGAAGGCTCAGGAGGTAATGCATTCTTAATCATGTAAGTATCTCCTCCCTTCTATGGGTCAGTACCTGCTGTAGGGCCATCATCAGGCAAACGAACAAGAGTATAACATATTCCTGGTTGATTATAAGGGAGGCTGGGGGCTGGGATACAACGCAGCACTTCAAAGGAATCTGATGGCTCCATCTGCACTGTCACTTTCTCCAGTAGCTGGTCATTTAGAGTATTGGTACAGTCAAACTGAAAAGTCAGCAAATGAAAAAGTTGTGAAGGATAAGCAGTGTTTTCAAAAGTAAGTTGTTCCTTCCCACTCATAATCCATGACTGAGCTCTGGAACCCACTATACCTTCCCCCTCTCTAAACAGAACTGTAGATCTCCTAAGATTTTTCATTAGGCGACAAGGATAGTCTTATTCTTGAGGTCTTTTTGTTTATATTATTGATCAGTTTTTTCTCTTTCCTGAGATTGCTCTATCAAACAAGATGGTAGAAGTCTGATGGCTGTCAAATCTAAGTTTTTTGAACAACCTACTTAATTTACCCTGATGTTAAAACATGGTTTTAAAAATAGGTTATACTTTATGTTGTCCAACTTTTTCAGACATTTCAGTTTTATGTCTTTTTAGATTTTAACCCTCAAAAGTTACCCATCATATGAAAGGATCCCTGTAGCTCTGGTATTAGGAAAGAAAACCAGAAATTCTGCCAAATTAATTTTCTATAAAAACTAGAATTATAAGCTAAAGGGGAATTGATATTTGTCTCAAAGCATACCAGTTTATACTAAGTGCCTACAGGAGCCAAGGACACTCATCTCACCTGGAACACAATGTGATTGGTAAACATATGCTTGATACAGCGAACAAAATATTCTGTCTCTGCTTCTGTAAGTTGAACAGGCTCAGAAGATTTGAACAAGGGTCCTAGAGTCATAAACTCAGGAATGGCAGCCAATTGTTCTATCAAGGAAAAAGGAAAGAAGATATGAAAAAGACAGGGAAAAAGTTTACTCTGGATTCCTAAAATGTTTTAATTTCTAATAGCCAAACACTTAACTAATATGTCCTCAAGCTTTAGTGAAATAATCTTTTAAGCAAGAAAGTTCATGTACTGAATTACTAAAAGCAAAAAACGAAACTAAATTCCTAATCTTTTAGAATTTGAGTTTCCTGTTAACCAATAAGATACAGACAAGAACAACATTCCCAGTTGGCAACTGGAATTTGAAAAGTTCCATGGACTTGTGTATGCTTAGCAACTATAACCTATGATCTTCAGCCACACAAATATTTCCTGTACTGAGAATTAATCAAACAGATAAAAGTAGTGGACTTTATTATATTTACAATGCCTAGGGGCAAGATTATTCCTTCTACCCACCAAATCATCATACCTTGGAAAATGTCTTGCCTGGAAGGAGCCAACTTCTCTGGCTTAGTAGCCACAAGTGTGATTTCTACAAAGACAGACATGAGCAATTAAGTGAGCTTCTTTCCCACTATCAAGCTAACAATGCAGACAGAAAGATATGAAGGCATAAACTTCTAGTCAGATATATAATGAGCTATTGCTAAACCATACCAATAGGTTCTGTGTCACTTTGGGAGGGCACTCAAATTTAGTAAACATATATGGTGAAATAATAAAGTAAGCCCTAAAAATATAGAATTTGCTTTAAATAAATTAGGATGTATAAAAAATTACTCAGAAAAGGAGGAATAGTTTATAAAATAAATCTCATGATAAAAACAGGAAAAATCACTTGTATGGTATCAACAGAAAAACTGGAAATGTGGAAAATTAAGCCTGAGTTCTTTTATTCCAGTTCTGTATTCCAACCACTAAATACTTTCTTCCTCTTTTTTAAGTTTTAAAGATAGATATTTGTTGGAAATATTTTTATGATCTTGTCCCATACATTTTTTCAAGACAAACCTCCAATAGCAAAATTAATTAACTTCGAAATCACCAACTTCAGAAAACAAAAATAGGAAGTGACAGCACTGTTATTGCTCAGAGATACATAGTGGCACTGTGTACCTTCAAATGCTACAACACTATGCATTTTAAAAAAAAGAAAAGATGTTCATCTTAGGACACATTTTATATTCTTGCTTTTATGTAAAAACTAGGATATTTTTAAAAACTCCTATAAAAATACCATGTATCTTATATCTAAAAGATTCAGAAGGAGTGACAAACAAAACAAAACAAATATTAGAGAAAAATATGCTAATATTTTGTGATTTTTTCTAGTTTTCTATACTCTCTATTTTAGAAAATGTAATATTTACTAGTTTTGTAAAACTATTTGTGCACAAGAAAGTAGAATTAACTGTTCCCATTACCTGATTTCTGTTCAAAGACAGGAGCCATTGCAAGAGGAATCGATTTCATATCAAAGGGTTTTTCTGAAGGCTCCAGTGTGTACTGGTATAAGGCTTTTTCCATTCCTGGTACAGAGACCATCAGACCTGTGAAACACAAAAAAACCTCAGCATTATAACCTCTTGCCAATCCTATGCTCCAGATAGGCCCAGATTTGTAATATTTATCTGAAGGAAGTTTTGTGAAGGAAGAGAAAAATACAACCACAGACTTTATAGCCCAAGTAATTAAAAATAAAAGCTATTTTATAAAACTGCCTTGTAAACTTATAAACTGCCTTATCTCATTCAAGAAAACATGGGAGCAGAGCATAAATATGTTCAATAAAATGTAAGTAATTCCCAGAAAAGAAAGCAACTTAGCCATGTGGGAACAATGACAGCATAAGAAAAGGGGAAAAAAGGTAAACCCATCCAAGAGAGAGTTCAAGGAGAACCAGAAATAAGGAATACTCTTTGGGCTCTTACATGCTTTAAGAAATATATATATTTTTTTTTTTTTTTTTGAGACAGAGTCTCACTTTGTTGCCCAGGCTAGAGTGAGTGCCGTGGCGTCAGCCTAGCTCACAGCAACCTCAAACTCCTGGGCTCGAGCAATCCTGCTGCCTCAGCCTCCCGAGTAGCTGGGACTACAGGCATGCGCCACCATGCCCGGCTAATTTTTTACATATATATCAGTTGGCCAATTAATTTCTTTCTATTTATAGTAGAGACGGGGTCTCGCTCTTGCTCATTTCGAACTCCTTACAACGGGCAAACCGCCCGCCTCGGCCTCCCAGAGAGCTAGGATTACAGGCGTGAGCCACCGCGCCCGGCCAAGAAATATATTTTTATAAATTGTTTTATAGGAATTGCCATTACCAAATTAGAGAATATCCTATCAATACAGGTTTCCCTAGAAATGGAAGTGCATTCAGAGACAAAAACCAAGTATTTGCCAGGTGAAGTTAGCTCATATCAAATTATGAAATATGCTTCCAAGACACCATTTGGGGAACAAAAGTGTGTTTGTCTACATTCTTGGCTCTCACTGACCATTGAAGATATATGTAGCATTCAGTGCCATCTGCCTCTGCTGCAGCACATTCAGATAGAAGGTAGCTCTGTCCCGAACCTCATCATCAGTATCCATCATACACCTGTCCAGAGGAAACAGAATTGGCATGTCACAGTACCTCAAAGATTTCTCATAGCTTTACCACCAAACCTAAAGGATACAGTTCAGGTCATCTGGTACCACCTTTGTAAAACAGCTCAACAATAGTCAACAGTGGCTCCTAAAGTTTCCAAAAATGTTAGGTATTGTTCTGAATTATTAAAGAAATAACTGTTATTATTAATCAGAAGGCCTATATAAGTAGGCAATAAAAATAACTATAAAGAATATAATAACATGAAATAGCAAAGTCTATTCCTGGATCTATAAGTGCATGACCCTGATGAAGACTTAAGATTTTTCTACAATTAAGAAATGAGATTACATTTTCTAAGGATACTAAAAAGATAAACAGTATTCACAATCCAAGCATTGTTACTACTCAAATGGCAATTTTTTAATTTAAACCAGCCAGCCATTGGCTTATAATTTACCTGTTTCAATTACAAGATGCAATCACAGAATCTTTTCCTGATAGGGAGGAAAATAGGGAGTCGTGGAGACCATGAAAAGCTACTATTTTCAACTCTACATAGTGAATTGCCTAAAATCTTTTTTAAGTTAGACCCTATCACACAAATTGAGGTACATGTATTTAAGTCACTTTCTCAAAATTATGTAAGAGAAATCCAAAGTCAAATGTAATATGTACCTAGCACATATATAATTACTAGAAAGAGAAAGAAAATGTCATTTGCCCCTGATTTACTCCATCAGCTCTATCTTTGGCCCTGTAGTGCATCCAATATGCTACAATAAGGATTTTGCTATTTAGCCATGTAGAATTCTTATTTTATAAAAAAGAGATTTTACTTACCTTTGTAAAAGTACAAGGATGCTTGGGAGAAGACTCTCGTTCTGAGCCCCAAATTTAGCCAAAGCACTCACAGCAGCTATAATTAATGAAGCATAAAATAAAACAATATTGGTTAGTCAGAGTTAAGCAATAATCGTTTTTTAAAAAACTAGAGAAGTTTCCCTATGTTCAGTGGAGAAAAACTTACTTGTTTTATTGAGTGTTTCTTGATCTTATATCTTTGATACATTTAAGCATAAACAGAATTCTGCAGGCCCAAGAGAGCTTTGAATAGGAAAATCCTCCATGCATTGAAGGAAAAGAATAATATAGATTTCCTGTATAAGCCATATCTTCACTCTACCACATCCCCTTATATATCACACTGATGTGATTAAGTTCTAATCTCAAACAACCAGCGCCAAGCATAAAAAGAAATTCTATTATTAAAATTCCTTGCATTCAATAAAGATTCACTATTTACCAAACTTTAGTCAGGAAGTATTCTAGGTGCTGGGGGTAGATAAAAGACATAGTGCCTGACCTCAAGAATTATATTTTAATGGGAAAGACAGGTAAGTAAAGAGATAACTATAATATAATATGTAGTAAGTCCATGGCAGAACTATTATCCAGAATGCTATGTGAGTACAGAGAAAGGAATTTAAGTCAGAAGTGGTGGTAGAGAAGTAAGACAAGGAGTTGACACTTACTACTTGAGCTAAATTTTGAAGAACAAGTAGAATTAGTCAGAGGGAGAATTCAGGAAAAGAGTATTAGAGACAAAGAGAATAACAAGTACAAATGCTCTCTGCCCAGAGAAGAAAGCATGCTATAGTACTGGACACAGCTGAGCAAGACTGAGCATACGGCCTACGTTGGAGAACAAGAAGAGACTAGGGCTAAAACAAAAATACGGTGTTTTTTAATCTCAAAATTATTATTAAAGGATATTAAACATAGGATAAATTTACACAGTTGAAAGACCATTTTTGGCTGAGTGTGGAATATAGACTGGCTATATGTTGAGTCTATTAAACAGACTAGTCAGGAATCTGAAATGATTGACAACCTAAATTAGTAGCCCTGAAAACAGAAAAGAGAATGAAGAAATATTAAGGAGACAGAATTGACAGCACTTTGCTAAAGAATAGATGGGAGTTGTAAAACAGTAGAATAAGTTTCTATCTTCACAACTGAGTGGATGAAAAAGGTGAAAATTTCAGTTTGGGTTAGTTTGAATTTCAGGTTGAATTTAAAGTGCCTTAGGCAGTTGGACACACAGGCTCAGGAAAGAGACATGATTGGAATGTCATAGCTTATCAGTAGAGCTCTGATAGCCAGGAAGAACGTGTATGTTGAGAAGATAAAACCCTAAGGAGAAGTAATATTTTAAGGAATGAGCCTAGGAAAAGAAACTATAAATAAGAGTGAGGAGTGGTAAAAAAATGTAGGCTATTGTAGAAATCAAGGGTAGAGGGTTTCATCAAGTGTTTAGTTAACAGTACATCAAATCAACAGAGGTGAACAAAGAACAGAACATTAGTGACTGACTTATTTCTCAAGTAGTTTATAAGTAATTTTTTTAAAAAATAGCTTCAGAGGATTTTTAAGGGAGAGAGCTAGATTATATTGAGTTGAAGAGAAAATGGAAAATGAATTCATGCTGGCAGCTAACAATGGCTACCTGAAGTTTATCTCAGAAGGGAAGAAAAGTATAGTGTCAGCAGCTAGTGAAAGATGAAGGCTAACAGGAGGGTTCACATTTTTAACAGGAGAAATTTGGACCTGTTCATATGCTAAGGGGAAGGAAAGATCAGAGAGGAAGTCACTTAAAAATATATAGACACACATATAACAAATTTTACATACAATCATACATATGGCTATCACTCTGAAAAAAAGGATGAGCCATCATGGTATTCCTATCACACTGAAATGCAAGGGTTCTCTCCAATCTAAGGCAAAAATGAGAACAAATTGGAGTACAAAGAAAGAGCTATACATCTGAGCTCTACATACACTCTAAGATCCTACCATAAAACAGATCTTGCAGCTTAGTTTTCCATTACTACCCTCTTTGAGTTAAATATTTCAAAAGATCACCAGATCACATCATTATCAGTGTTCCAATGACTCACCTGCTCTGATAGCCTCATTCTCCAGGACAACCCTATTAAAAATAAAGCGGATATACTTGGAGGGGACAGGCGTTCTGGGGCCCTCTTTGCCCAACAAGTGTAGAATCTTAGTAGCCAGAACAGTGTGTTCACAGTCCTCAATGAATTCACAAAGGTGGGCTAGACCTGCTTCTTTACTCTCAGAGTTCTCTTCCACAATGGTGATTATACAGTCCACAATGGCCCGCTTATATTCAAAGCCACCCTGGCAAGAGAAGATAAAACTGCCATTCATTCTAAGGACACTTTTTGGAAAATGCTTATACTCCAAGGGTCACACTTATAATATTCCAATTTCATTTCCTGCCCTTTATGAAAGAAACAAAAGTTTTTTTTTTTAGTGGGAAAGCAAAGCAATGGCATGTTTTGCAGTAAGACAGGAACCAGACTTATGCATACTACTTGAGAGGCATACTGAGATGATAAAGAAATCAAAGCTTAAAACACTATGGTATTTAATGGCAAACAAAAGAATTTAAGAAAGCAACTTCCTATGATTAAAAAGGAGTCTACCTACATCATCTCGGAGCATGTTAGAGAGGAAAGTCATCATGACGCTATGCTTTCGAGGATATTTCTGACAGAGAGCACTAATTGCCTGTACAACCACCACCTGTAGAAAAACAAACAGAAGAGTCACTTTTACAATGACTGTACAACCACCACATACAGGAAACAAACACAGAAAGGACATTCATCTTTATAACTTTAGCTGTAAAGCATAATTTCCCTCTATAAGCTAAGAATGCATTATAGTTATCTAAAATGACAATAATTATTCGTCACGGAATATAAGAAAGGAGACCACAAAGGAAAATAAAACGCAATGTAAAAATGGAGTTTATTCAAGGATTCTCTCTCTCCACCTTAAACAAATAAGCACATAACCATTTTAAAGTGAGCAGTAAAGATAAAAAGCTTGAACAGAATTCCACAGGAGAAACAGAGAAAGTTATCAAGGAATTACTTCACAAAATGGTTTCTAGGGGAATTTTACCACAACATTAAAGACCAGTGTCAAGGAGTGTGAAGGGTATGAGATTTTATCCTACTTACAAGTTATCCTGCTACAATTTCATGGATGCTGGTAGAAAACACTAGATTCCTGGCTCAGTGATGAAAGACAGTTACTGCTGTAACCACACCAATAGCTATACCAATAGTAGCTACAGTATTCAGTGTTTTGGGGTGGGTTTCTTTGAACCCCAATTCCCACAGGGCACTGCAAAGAGAGCCAGATAATACCTTGACCCACAGTAGGTTACATTACAGGATAAGAACTCCGAGGTGTGGAAATTGAATATTTTACAATGGGCAGTAAGCACGCCTGTCCTTTGTTCTGAAAGAAAACATTATTATACTGGACACTAAGCAAGTTTGCTTTGTGCTCCAGTGGGAATACTATTTGTATTTTCAAGGGCTGTAAGGAAATCTATCCTTTACTTTAGAGGAAGACATTATCTCTGTCTTCTAAGGCCGGAGGATATCTTGTACTATACAAAGGGAACCAAGTTGGTATGGTAGGAAACCAAGGGCAGTGAGTGTCTAACTTGCAAGACGTGCAGAAATGCAAAGAGACCCATGGAGAATTGAGAATTGTCTACCAACAATCCTCTGATTTATAACCCAAATCTATATATGCTGTTTGGAGCATAGAAAATGAAAATGTCCACTATCTTTCTGTGACAAAATGATACTTAAACCTAATAAAGATGGTATATATATGCACAGAAAGGAAAATTAACAGTTGAAATAATTTACGAATATTGATATAAAAATTCTAAATACTATGTTAGCTAACAGACTCTAATACTAATACTACATTAAGGAAATAATTAATATACCATGATAAAATACAAGGATACTTCAATATCAGAAAATTAATTAATATATATTTTTTGTTTAAAAAATTATATTATATATATTCTTTATTTTTTTACCCACCTTCAAAAAAGACCAAACAATTAATATAATTCATCATATTAATGAGTCAAAAAAGAAAAAATATATGATTATATCCAAAATACTGAAAAGCTTTTGATAAAAATCCAACACCCATTCCTAATAAAAATTCTAGAAAAAATACAAATAGACGGATACTTCCATAACATAAATATAAATACCTCAGTTCTAATGCCAGTGTATTACTTAACAGGGGACACTGAGCGGCATTCCCATTAAGATCAGAAATAATGCCAGGATGCTACTATTTCTACTTTTACTTAACATTATTCTGGAGATATTAGCCAATGCAATTAGATAAGAGAAAATAATTAGAGGAATAGGAATTAGAAAAGACAAAACACAAAACAATCTTTGTTTTTAGATGATATAACATAGTATACCTGAAAATCCAGATAATCAATAATGAAACTAACTCAATAATTCAGCAAGGTAGCAGGATATAAAATTAACATACAAAACTAATAACATTCATATACATGAATAATAACTACTTACAAGATACATGGATTAAAAAACATTTATACTAGCCTGAGCAACACAGCAAGACTACAAAAAATACAAAAATTAGCTGGGAATGGTGGCACACACCTGAGTCCCAGCTACTTGGGAGGCTGAGGCAGGCGGATTGCTTGAACCCAGGAATTTGCGGTTGCAGTGAGCTATGATAATGCCACTGCACTCTAGCTCAGGCAACAGAGTGAGACCGTATCTCAGAAAAAAAAAGAATCATAATAGCAACAAAAATATAAATTATTTAGAAATAAACATTTAAAAAATTTTCAAAACTAATATAAAAATATTATAAAACATTCTTGAAAGGCAGATTTAAACAAATTAAAAGACACCCTTGTCTTTGTTAGGGTATCTGAACATCGTCAAGATATTTATTCTCCCCTATCTTAACTTATGAATATTTAATGTGATCCCAATAAAAAATGCCAATGGGATTTTTTATGAAGCTAGACAAGCTGATACTGAAGTTTATTAGAAAAACAAACATGCGAGAATATCCAGGAAAATAATGAAAATAAAGAGCTATGATGGAGGGCTAACAGATATTAATATATTTTACAAAGCTTCTTTATTTAACATAGTGTGTGGCAGTGGTATATGAATAAATAGACCAACATAATAAATAGAATAGAAAGCCCAGAAACAGACCTAAATACATATGGAACTTTGGTATATCATAAAGATGATATCTCAAATCACTGGGGCAAAAATGGTCTGTAAATAACATTTTGGGGGGGGCAACTGGATAGTCACTGGAAAAGGATAAGACTGAATCTGTTTCTCACACCATATACAATAATAAAATCCAATGGATCCGAGATCTAAATGTAAAACACAAAAGTATAAATGTACTAGACGAGAACATGGGTAAATCCCTCTATAATCTGAAGGAAAAGTCTTTTCTACCTATGACTCAAAAGTCAAACGAGATAAAAAACTGACAAATTTGACTACATAAAAATAAAAAAGACCTTTGTGTGACAAAAGACACCATAAGAAAAGTCAAAAGACAAATGACAAACTGGGAGAAAATATTCATAACATGTTTCACATGTTTGTATATTAATTCTTTAATATACAAAAAAACATTAATTGAGGAAACAAAGACCAAAATCCTGGAGAAAATGGGGGAAAGATCTGAGCAGACAATTCACAAAAAGAGATATATTAAATGGCTCTTAAAAATATGAAAAGATGTTTAGGTTCTCTCATAAGAGATATTCAAATTAAAACATTGAGATAGCATTTCTCAACCAAAAGGCTGATAAAACTTCAAAAGCTTAATAATACACATTATTGGTGAAACTATGGAAAAACTGGCAGACTCATACATTGCTGGTAGAATTTAGCATTCTCTGTGAATTACCTATTTATTTACCCTTCGACCTAGCACATGGACTTGAAGGAATTTACCCTAAGGATACACCTCCAACGTTTTAAAAAAATATGCACGAGGTATCCACTGCAGCATTACTTGATATTGCAAAATACTACAAACTATGTAAATGTCCAAGCATAGGAAATTGGTTCATAAACTACTATGTACACCTGCTGAGGTACTACACAGCTATAAATAAAAATAGGGGAATGTCTCCATGCACTATTTTAGAGTGATTTCCAGTATATATTTTTAGGTTAAAAAAAAAGAGAGAAAGTACAAGAGAGCATATATAATATGCTATCTTTCTTTTATGATAAAAGAGAAAATAAGAAACATATATGTATCTCTTATCTTTATAAAAAGATACACAAAAAAGATAAACAAAAGCAATAAAGTTGGTTACTCATGGGGGGGTGGAAGAGATAAGAGAGAAAATGACATTTTTCTGAATATACTTCTTTGTATAGTTTGACTTTTGGAAGTATAATGTTCTGCACATTAAAAAATAAATCATTAAGATGAGAAGGGGAAAAATATTAAAATTGAAAGCAACCTGAAACAAATCCATCTGTATATCAAAAGACTTATATAACTACACTGAAAAGAAGAAAAAGAAAAAAGAAAAAGAATCCAAATAACTTAGTCAATATTCAACTATTCTGTGTGTGTAGATTTTAAAATACCTATTTTGGACTAGTAGTTCTTTCTATACTATATGCACATAAAACAACAATAATAGTAACACTGGAATATTATACTTAGATCATTATTATTTCATTTAGGCTTCAAAATAACTCTTATGAGGTAAGTACTATTATCTCCCATAGTACAGCCTAAGAACCTGAGGCAGCAAGAGTTTATATGAATCACTTGAGGCAAACATCTAATATAAGTGGTAGAATCAGGGTTTAAACCCTGGGATTCTGATTCTAAAGGTCATTCCATTAACCACCACAAAAACTGCCTCCAACTCCTAACTCTTTAGCCTGACATTTTAAATTGGTCTTATATATGCATTTCTGTTTGGAACATACTAAAGGGATAAAATTGTTAGGTCATTGGGATACGCACATGTTCAGCTTTAGTAGATACTGCCAAACAGTTTTCCAAAGTGTCTGTACTAACTTAAATTCCCACTCATAGTGTATAAAAGTTTTGGTTTTCCACATCTTCATCAACATTTGGTATTTCCAACTTTTTCATTTCAGCCTTTCTAGTGATTGATTAACTTCCACTATGGTTCTGATTGTATTTCCTTGATGATTATAAATTTTTCGTATGTTCATGGCCATTATATCCTTTTTTATAGGTCTTTTTTAAGACTTAGGATTGTTTTTATTATCTGCCTTTTTCTTTTTGGTTTGTAAGACTTCTTTATAAATTCTCAAATTGAGCTTTTTAAGGCTCAGTTCATGTGTACCGCAAATATTTCCCACTCTATGGCTTGCCTTTTCATGTCTTTTGATAAGTGGGAATTCCTTAATCAGATTCAATTTATCAAAATTCCTTTGTGTTTTATTTTTAAAACATTTTTCTTATTCCAGGGTTATGATGGTTTCCTACATTTTCTTCTAAAACATTTATTGTTTTGCTTTATATATTGAGATCTGCAATCCATCTGAAATGGATTTCTGTGTATGGTGTGAGGTGGGGTTAAAATTCACATTTTTTCCATGTGGATATCCAATTGATGAATTCCCATAATGCTTTAATAACGTTTTTATCTTAACTAACATAATCAATACCTGAACTCAAAGATGTCCCAAAAGGCAGACAATAAAAAAGGGGGAGGATAGTCTTGAAGAGACCATCTGTAAAAAAGAATATAAACACAGAAATGTTAGGTAGCAGAGAAAGAAGCAGAATGTTATGCTGAGGGGGAAATGCATTTGAAATTAGAAAGCCTAGGTTTTGGTCTTAACTCTGCTGCTAATTCACTGTGTTACCTTAGGTAAATCAGTTGACAAAAAAAGAGACAAAAGAGCAGTTTGCATAGTAGTCATTCTTACTGAAGATTTAAGACACAGAGGAATAAATATCTACAAATGATTATATAGATTTACTTTGGTAAGTTTTTGGTGATAAGATATTTGATGTAACTCCAACTTTAGGATGCCTCCCTGACTCTTCAAACTTGCTTCCCAACAATAACTATTTCATTTCTTTATTTCCTTCCTAAATGACCATGTATGTTTACACAGAAGTTATCATTAGAAGACCCTAAAGAATGGGAAAACATTTTGAAAAACACTGTGGAGGGCTAGAGGCAGCATCATATCCAGTGAAATACAGTGGTAATTGATACTGGGTTGTGATCAACCACTTTATATCATAAAATTCCATTCAGTGAGAGATAGAAAACAAGAATTTTAAAAACTATAGAAAATCACGGACAATATTCAATAGTATACTTAGCTTTTCACAGTTGGTGAGGATTTATTTTATAAGGTTAAAAAACTAGGCAAATTAGTGATACAGGAAGAGATACTGCCAATTGTAGAAAAGTTTAGCTTAAACATTTAAAATGATTTTATTCTTTTTTTCATTCTTTTTCTCATGACATATTTCATACTATTTATAATATATATATTTAGCAAATGATTATAAAAGAAAATGCCTGTGCAATTACCATAGAGATTTTTAAAAAGAGCATTTCCATTATTTGTTCCTGTATGCTCCATTGCTTTGTTCCCAGAGATGATCACTCTCCTGAGTATCTTTACCATTTTCTTGCTTTTCTTCAGTTTACCATATGTACATATCCCCATACAATATACACTGTTTAGTTCTTTAGTATTTATATGAATGCTATGGTGTTCTGCAACTTGTTCAACATGACATTTGCAAACTTTAATGTCTATGATTGAAATGATTTCCTGGTTTCAAAAGTAAAATCCCAGGATTTGTTTTTTAAAGAATATACATACATCTTCAAATGTACTAGATAATGTTGGATTGATTTCAGAAGTAGTTGTTTATGGGGGTACATAAAGTTTCCATTGCTTCATATCCTCACCAACTTCATATCCTCACCAATTTTTTTTGTGCTATAAACTTTTTAATGTTCTAAAACTGAAATCAGTAAACTATAGCTCAATCTTATCTGTGTCTTGTTTTTGTACAGCCTGAGAGCTAAGATGGTTTTTAAGTTTTTAAAGAGTTGTTAAAAAAAAAAAAAAAAAAAAGGCAAAGAAGAATATGCAACAGAAACCAGAGGGGCCCAGAAAGCCTTAAGTATGTATTTAATGGCCCCTTAAAGAAAAAGTTTGCCAATTCCTATTCTAAAACATCCTTACTAAAACCACTCTCCTCATCCTTCCGGTTTATTTTAGAAATATTTACAAAAATGACCTCCATAACCTCTCAAGGTTCTCTGACGATTCAAAATGTCCCCTTAAATATACATGCTAGGTTTGTTTTTTAGTCTAGATATATACTAAGTAGAGAGTAAACAGGGTCAGTTATACTACTTGGCTGGGTGTTAAGAAAGAGTGAAACAATAAAATCTGTCTACTATTTATTTTACTAACTGAAATTTATTGTTCTTTTTATCATCTCTGATAATCTCTCACCAGTTATATTCAATACTATACTAGAAGTATTATTTTTAAAAGGCAAAGAAAAAAAAAAAAGAAAGGAAAGGCATTCGGATTGGGAATAAAGAAGTAAAACTGTCTCTACTCACAGATGATGTAATTATTTATATAGATAATCCCAAGGAATGTATCTAACAACTATTAGACCCAATAAGGGAATTCAGCAAGGTCACAGGATACCGAGTTAATATAGAAAAGTTTTTTAAAAAATATTTTTTCATATACTGGTGGTAAACAATGAAATATAAATTTTAATAAAATGGTATCAAAAATATTTAGATATAAATTTAACAAAATATTTGCAAGACCTCTGCAGTAAACACTATAAAACATTGCTCAGGGAAATTAAAGAAGATCTAAATAAAGGGAGTGATAAAGCATATTCATGAATTGGAAGAATAATGTTAAGATGTCAGTTATCCCCACTTTGCTTTATAGATTCAACACCCATCCCAGTCATAATACTAGCAGGCTTTGTTTTATAGAAATTAATAAACTGATTCTAAAGTTTATCTGGGAATGCACAAGAACTAGAATATCAAAAAAGAAAAAGTTGGAAGACCACATTATTTGACAGGCAAGAGGTACTATAAAGCTACATTCATCAATATAATGTGGTACTAGCATTGGACTGACAACAGGATCAGTGGAACATGATAAAGAGCCCAGAAATATACCTACAATTATATGGTTATTTGCTTTTCAGACAACAAAGATGCCAAAGTGCTCCAACAGGGAAAGGGAAGTCTCTCCAACAAATTATGCTGCAATAACTGGATAGCAGTATGGAAAAACACTGAACTTCCTCTGCAAACATTAATTCAAGTTACATCACAGACCAAAATGTAAAAGCTAAAAACAAAAAGTATTTAGAATAAAACACAAGAAAATATCTTTATTACTTGGAGGTAGAGAAAGATTAGATAGGGCACGGCAATAACTGTGAAAGAAAAAAAATTGGTGAATTGGACATCATAAAAATTAAAAACTTCTGCTCCTCAAAAAACACTGTTAAGAAAAGAAACAGGCAGGCCACAGACTGGGAGAAAACCTGATCTTGTTGAACTCTTACCTTGAACTCATCTGAGATTTCAGACACAAAAGAAGATATCTGCTTCATGAGCCTATCCACACTGCTCTCACTTCCTGTTTTGAGGAGTGTAGTAATGGCTAGGGTGGCAATGCTTCTGTTTGAGTCTGTGATCAAGTTTTCTAAATCCAGATTGCACGCAGTAACAGCAGAGGGGTGCTTCATTGCCACCTTGTGGAAGGGCAAGAAAAAAAAATTAAGCAAATGACTTTTGATAAAGGCCAGAACTTAAATTTTAATTAAGGTAAGTGGCAATCCAAACGGGATAGTACAGATTAAAAGTAATTGTTTCAAGGAGAATGTTTCCAAAGAATAAGGTATAATACATTTCTTGATAAATGATTAATTGGCACAGTACAGCATAGTACCCTCTTTTGTTAGAGTCCTATAAACTTTCTAAGAACATCACAGTCTGTTTTTTTATTATAGTTGGCCCATATTTTCTTATAGTACATGTGTCTATGCATGTTTACTCTTCTAGATGTTAGGATCTCTGAGAATAGGATCTAGCATGGTAAACAGTACTCAACAAAGACTGTTAAAATCTTATCATTTAGAAAACACTTCTGCATTTAAACATGCAAATTCTAAGCTGGATTACCCATGGACACTAAAACAGGTCTGTCATTCTGCTTCCTTGCTTTTGTTGATGTTGTTCTACCTCTGCCTGTCCCAGTATTGGTATAGAATCCCTTACTTATAATTCCGAAAAGTTGAAAACACTCTGCCAAACTACTGGCATCAAAATTCATTTAAAAAGTAAAATATGACTCAAACAAATATAAATGAAACTATTTAAGTCTTAATTTATCCCAGAGAGGACAGTCATGTTTTATGCGAAAATAATAATGTGTCTTAATGGTGGGGCGCTGCTCCAGGCCCACTGGGGTTAGTATATAAGAGATAACACCATGTTGCCTTCCTAAAATTCACAAAAAAGTAAATTCTGAGACACATTTGGCCCCAAGATTACAGATAAGGATTGTGGACCTATATCAACTCTTTAAAATACAATCTGAATTGTTCCATACAGACTTCTCCCATGGCTGCTCTAAACTTCTCTCTTCTCCAGTTGTTCATACAATTAACTTGTAATTGATTGTGTACTGCCTTATGAGAAGTCTTCTACTACATTAACATTTTATTTAAAATTTTTATGATTAATTATTCTGTTTCTGTATTATATCTTCTAAAATATATACTGTCTATATGGTAGCCAATAGCCCATGTTACTACTCAAAATTTGAAAGGTGCCTAATCCACATTAAGATATGCTGTAAATATAAAATATATACTTGATGTCAAAAACTTCAGATATGTTAAAATATCAACATCTCTTAATACTGAATACATGTTGAGAAGATTTTTTATATATTAAGGTAAAAATATATTATTAAAATTAATTTTACCTCAAAAAGTTTTTATGTGGTTACTATAAAATTAAAAATTACATATGTGACTCACATTGGGTTTCTATTGGACAATGCTGCTATAGGAGTGTTCAATATCTGCACTGTCCACTATGAAAGCTACTAACTACATGTGGCTATGAGCACAAGAAGTGTGACTAGTGTCACTGGGGAATTGAATTTTTAATTTAATTAATTTAAATTGAAAATAGCCACTTGTGGCTAATGGCCAGCATACTGGACAGAGTGGTTCTTGAATATAAAATGCTTAGAAGTCAGAAATGATGGGTACAATCTTCAGCTAAATAATAATAAAAATGGCCATTCCTAAAGCCACAAATACAAGTGAGGTATTGTAGAAGTGAAGCCTATAAATGATATATAATATAATCTTAGAGAGAAAGCCAAATGTTTCACATTTAATGTTTTTCAACCAAACACAACATATATACACACGCAAAATATAACTATTGATTTAAGTCAATAGTTAGCAAAGGGACATCTACCTTGTTCAAGGTCCTCACAGCTGCATATCTCAAGGCTGGCTTAGGAGAGCTACAGAAAAGTTGAAGAACTAAAAAACAAAAAATAAAAAAACCCACTATAAATATTGCTCATTTCCTCATATATCACATAGCTGAAAATATAGTACATAATGAATCATATTCAAAATATGCATAAGGAAATACAATCACAGTATCACAAATTCACATGAAAAATATATCAAAAATAGAAAAAGCATTTTTTGTTCAGCTATAAAAACTAAATAGAAAACAAAGTTTACTTTTTTCTGAAAGAATTAGTACTCATTAGTATTTAAATTTTTAAATGGTAGAAATATTGACAGTTATGAGAGCAAATGGGCTTTTTAAACATTAAGGAAAACTGAAGATCCTAAAGTTACTTGTCTTCTATGTTAAATTTTTTCAAAAGTTTTATATGGGGAAACAGAAAGTTCAAAAAAGTAAGTAATGCAGTAAAGAAGAACTAAAACTACATATAAGTTATCAGAATGCAAAGCCTGTAAGTACAGTGCTAAGGTTCAAAAATCATTCTTAATACCTATTCTGTAGACTTATGGAACTTAAACCAAAAATTTAAGAACATAAATAAAAATCAGCCATAAAATATATAACTAACCTGAAACAGCAGGTGCCAACTCTCTTGCAGTACAGTTAGGAAGATGGATAATAGCTGAAGCAGCTTCATAAATAACCATTTCATGTTTATTTCTCAAGCAGCTCTCAATGAAATCAAAGAATGGACTTCCATGGCTGCGATAAACATATATAGGCCATTATTTAGATATCAAATAGAAAGGCAATAAGCATAGGGGTTAAAGCGACAAACAGATTGAGAAGCATTTCTGGAATGGTGGATAAAAGGCGTCTGAAAATTCACTTCTCCAAAAAGCAATGTGAACACTGGCAAAAACTATCAAAATCACTTTTTCAGAACCCTAATAATTAATCAAAGACTTGCAACAATTCTGTGAGGATTTTTTCAAGAAAAATAGCTGAATCTTGGTAAGAATGGTGAGCTTTCTGGCGTTTTAACTTGCACTGTTCCCATTTTCCACTCTCTTCTTCCCAGTTTTCCATAGCAGCCTTGGAAACCAGTAGCCTCAGAACCACAGCAGCTATGAACACCAGCAGCCTAGCAGCCACTGGAAGAAGTGAAAGCCTCATCCCCAAAGAGCTGTCACTATCTGACCTGCCTGGTGCTCCCTAGAAAAGCCCATTCACAAGCTAATCTTTCATTTCACCTGACTCAGAGCTCATTCAGTGAGGAAAGCCCTGTCCCCAGGGAGTTTGTCCCAAAATACCAGTGACAATTGGTTAATACTGCAGCTGCCAGAAGCAGAAATTCTGGTGGGGACAAACAAGAGGCTGGCCAAAAAATTAAAAAAAAAAAAAAAAAAATATGGGGAATGAGATATCCTTCCAGGGATTTGAAATTTTCTGAACTATTTCAGGGGATCTAGAAGGCCATGTGCATAGGAGGGCTGAGCAAATGCTCAGCAAAGACCTGACAAAACCCTAATCTCTCACCTTTGCTTGCCTTTGAAGCTCTGTGCAAGTAGGAAGTGAAGGCTAAGGCACAGTTGTAAACTGCTGGGACATGGAAAGCATGGCATGCCCCAACACATATAGTGCCCTTGGAAAACGATAGGAGACATGTCAGTTTAAAATATTTAAGAAAATCTCTATCAAATCATTATATTATAACTCAGCTAATCAAACAGAGCCTTCAGTGGCTATACATGATATGAACCCTACAGTCCAGGAAAGTCACTAAAAAAAGAACAAGAACAAATAACATCAGCAACAAACCCTGGGGTTGGGGGTGGGGGAGATCTGATTACCAGTGTTACCATATTATATCATTTAAAATACAATGTTTTTGACAAAAAAATTATGAGACACATAAAGAAATAGTGAAGTATGTTCCACATACAGAGAAAAAAACAGTCAACAGAACTTATCTCTGAGGAAGCCCAGATGTTGGACTTACTAGGCAAAAACTTTAAGTCAGCTAATATGTCCAAAGAAATAAAGGAAATCATAACTAAAGATTTAAAGGGAAGTATAACAATGATGCCTCCCCAAAGAGAGACCACCAAAAAAGAGACAAAAATGATTTCTTTTTTAAAAAAGAAACTACATAGAAATTCTGGATTTGGAAAGTACAATAACTGGAACGAGAAATTCACCAGAAAAGTCCAATAGCAGATTTTTAGTGGCAGATGAAAAAACCAGAAAACTTGAAGATAGGTCAACTGAGATCAAATAACTGAAGAAAATAAAGAAAATAAAAAGAAGGTAGAAAAATGAACAATATTATGGAGACCTATGTAACATGACCAAAGTTATCAACATTGTATGACAGGAGTTTCAGAAGGAAAAGAGAGACACAAAGGGGCAAAAGAAATATTTGAAGAAACAATGGCCGAAAATCACTCAAATTTGATGAAAAACATGAATATGTGCACCCATGAGTCTGAGTAATCTCAAGCAGAATAAATACAAAAAGATCCACACATAAACACTCTATAGTCAAATTGTTAAAATCATAGATAAAGAGAAAATCTTGACAGCAGCAAGATAAAAACTACTCATTCTACTGTACAGGGAAAAATCAATACAATTAATGGCTGACTTCTCCTCTGAAACAATGGAAGATAGAGAGAGTAAAATACCATATTAAAAGTGCTAAAATGAAAAGATAAGAATTCTATATCTAGCAAAAACTATCCTCTAAAAATGAAGGCTAAAATAGACATTCTCAGATAAGCAAAAACTGAGAGAATTCATTGCTAACATATTTCCTTTACAAAAATACTAAAAGAATACTTTAGACTAAAAGATGGTCTTCAGACAGTGATAAGAATAATCAGGGGAAAATAAACAGCACCAGAAATTGTAAATATGTGAGATGATAAAAAAGATTTTATAGACACATTTTTCTCTTTCTTGACTACTTTAAAGAAAATAAAACTGTATAAAGCAATAATTGTAACACTTTATTGTTGAATTTATAACACATACACAGGTAATATACATGCCAAAATGGGAGGGAGGAGGAAATAGAACTATACTTGAATGAAGATTTTATATTTTACTGAAATTTAGTATTAATCTGAAGTAGATTATGGTAAATTAAAATGTATATTACAATCCCTAGAGCAACAACTAAGAAAAAACTTTTTTAAAAAAGTTAAAATATTTTTAAAAATAATTTTTGTCTCAAAATATTAAGGGGGTACAAGTATTTTTGTAACATGGATGAACTACAGAATGCTGAAGTCAGGGCTTTTAGTGTGCCTATAGCCAGAACAGTGTACATTGTACCCAATACATAAATTTTTATCCCTCACTACTCCCAACCTCCCCTCCTCTTAATTTCCAGTGTCCTTTACACCACTTCATGACCATGTGTACCCATCATTTGGCTACCACTTATTGGTGAGAATACGTGCTGTTTGTTTTTTCCATTCCTGAAATATTTCACTTAGGATAAGGTTCTCCAGTTTCATCTGGATTGCAACAAATGATAGTATTTCATTCCTTTTTATGGCTGAGTATATACCACATATTCTTTAACTACTCATCAACTGATGGGCACTTAGGTAGATTCCATATCTTTGCAACTGTGAAGTGTACTGTGATAAACATTTGGATACAGGTGTCTTTTTGGTCTTTTTGATATAATGACTTATTTTCCTTTGGATAGATACCTAATAGTGGGATTGCTGGATCAAAAAGTTAAAATAACTGACAGAGGTATTAGAATGATACATTAAAAATATTTATTTAACAAAAAGGAAAAAAATCAAAGGGGAAGAGAGAAACAAAAAAGATAGGAGACTTACACAAATAGCAAAATGGCAAAAGTAAATCCAACAATATCAATAATTATATTAAATGTGATGGTCTAAACATCCCAATCAAAAGACAAAAATTATTATACAAGTTTTTAAAAAAAGCAAGATCCAACTCCATGCTGTCTAAAAAGTGACATACTTTAGATTCAACGACATAAAGAGGATGAAATGTAAAAGATGGGACAAGATTGGTTGGGCATGATGGCTCACACGTGTAATCCCAGCATTTGGGAGGCTGAGGCAGGAGGACTGCTTGAGGCCAGGAGTTCAAGAGCAGCCTGGGCAACACAGTGAGACCCTGCCTCTAAAAAATAAATAAATAAAATAAAAATATTAGCCGGGCATGCTGGCACATGCCTGCAGTCCTAGCTACTTGGGGGCTGAAGATGGAGGATTATTTGAGCCCAGGAGTTCAAAGTTACAGTTATCTATGATTGTGGTACTGTACTCTATCCTGGGTGATAGAGCAAGACCCTGTCTCTTAAAAAAAGAAAGAAAGAAAGAAAAATAAGATGGAACAATATATGCCATACAAGCAGTAACCATAAGCGATCAGGAATGGCTATATTAATAGCAGACAAAATAGAATTTAAAATAAAAATATTATACAACATAGGAGAGACATTCCCTAATGATAACGAAGTCAAAACTTCAGAAAAATATAACAATGATAAAGACATACCCACTTAATAGAACCACAAAATACATGAAGTAAAACTTGACAAGGAAGAAAGGAGAAATATATCATTTAATAATAACAGTTGGAGATATCTACAGCCACCCAATAATTGATACAACAACTAGACAGAAAATTATCAAGGATACAGAAGACTTGAACAATATGATCAACCAACTCGGTCAAACTGATTATGTAAAACATTCAACCCAATGACTGTAAAATACACATTCTTTTCCAGTACATATGAACCATTTCCAAGGACAGATTAAATGCTAAATCATAAAATAAGTCTCAATACATTTTAAATAATACAAATCATACAAAGCATGGTCTCCAACCACGAATGAATTAAATCAACAGCAGAAATCCGAGAAATCCTTAAATAAATCAAATGGGAAATAAGAAAATATTTGAGGCCGGGCGCGGTGGCTCACGCCTGTAATCCTAGCACTCTAGGAGGCCGAGGCGGGCGGATTGATCGAGGTTGGGAGTTTGAAACCATCCTGAGCAAGACCCCGTCTCTACTAAAAATAGAAAGAAATTAATTGACCGACTAAAAATATATATACAAAAAATTAGCCGAGCATGGTGGTGCATGCCTGTAGTCCCAGCTACTCGGGAGGCTGAGGCAGGAGGATCGCTTGAGCCCAGGAGTTTGAGGTTGCTGTGAGCTAGGCTGACACCACGGCACTCACTCTAGCCAGGGCAACAAAAGTGAGACTCTGTCTCAAAAACACACACACACACACACACACACACACACACACACACACACACACACACACACACAAAATTTGAAACTGAATGAAAATGAAAACACAAAAAATTAAAATTTATGGGATTTGGCTAAAACACTGCTTGGAGGGAAATTTATAACTTTAAAAACTTGTATCAGTAAACAAAAAACATCTCCAATAACCTAAGCTTCCATGTTAAGAAATTAGGAAAAGAATAAACTAAGCCCACAACAAGCAGAAGAAAGGAAATAATAAAAATTAGATCTAGTAAAGATTAGATTAATTAGTTAATAGACTGGAATACAGAAAGATAATAGCAAAAAAAGAAAAAAAAAATCAGTGAAACCCAAAGTTGGTTCTTTGAAAAGATCAACAAGATTTACAAACCTTCTTTAGCTAGACTAACCAAACAAAGAAAATAGACATAAATTACCAAAATCAGAAATGAAAAAGAGGACACAACACTATTGACCC